CATCGCTTGCTCTCTCCCGCAGCCTCCGCTGGGCGAGGGCTTCCTACTCGCCGCGCGCAGACTGACCCTCCCCGCCCCGCCGAGCATGCCCAGTGAGCCGCCTGTGGCGCCCCGCCCGAGCTCCGCTCCGGCTTTTCCGCAGCGTTGGGAGGAGGCGTGGTTAGAGGGTGTGGCGAGCCGGGACTGGGCGGGGCGGCGCGAAGCTTGGAACTGGGCAGTCCTGCCTGTGCCTGTAGGTGCCTAGGTCCGGACCGAAGCTACCTCCTTTCAGGGCGCTGCGAGTTTTGTGGGCACATCGGGCAGTAGCTGGCTGTGACCTTCTCTGCGCCTTGGGCTGTGAAAGGCAGATGGACACCAGTCCCCGACCCCAGATCAATGCACGCTTCTCTGGGCATTTTCAGGCCAGGGTAGTTAACAGAGGCGCGTGCCCCCACTCGACCAGGTTTTCTCGTGTCGCTTCCCTGCGACGAACTCTTCCCGAGTCCCTGTTCGGACTAAGAGCTAGGGGTGGGAATTAATGGAGAACCGCAGCCTTCGGGGCAGGACTTGCGGGGTCATCCAACCTCCCCTTTGGCTGGATTCAAAACCCGGCTAGCGTATCCAACCCCACGGAAGGCGTGCGGTTCCCGCACCTAGTCAGGGCATGCTCAGTCGGCCGAGCAGGTTTGGGGCTTGCAAGTAGGAAGGTTTCGCACCGCACACCCACACGCCAGCTCAAATTACCTCTCCCAGACTCCCCAACTCATTGGCCCCAGGACGCGAGTCTCACACCCCCAAATGTTTTCCCATTGGCTGCTGCCGAGGTTTTGTCACTTTGGACAGCTTCATTGGTTGGAAAGTCGCCTCCGCTCGGGATTGGTTATTTATAGAGATTGAGTGGAGAGGCGGAGGCCCAGCTGTTCCTTCTCCACTGCTCCCCGCCCCCTTCCACCCACTCCTGGGCCTATGGATCTGAAGCTGAGAGGGGAAAAAGAAGGAATTTAGGCGGAGTGCTCTAAACTAAATATAGGCCTTTGTTGGTGTTTTGGGGGGAGTCTGATTTCTTCAAGTCCAGTCACGACCGTTCCTTAAAGGGAGCAGCTAGGGTTCGTTGTTGCTTTCTGTCTGCAAGAAATCCTAAAGTTTCTAACTTAATCTTTGCCGGGGGCTGGGATGAGCCACCGGGAGCTCGTGGCAGCAGGAGAGGTGGGGCTGCCCAGGCTTGCCTCTTCCCAAGCTCTGCATGGTGGGGCGGCAGTCGCAGGACTTGGCTCCACTCGCTTGCACCGGGATTCTAGGTGACGCCTAGACTTGTCTTGAGTATCTCTAGTTCCTTACTAGGAGAGATGTCTAGACCTGTCAGCGCACAGCTCTGGCTGTGGAAGCCGCCTAATGCAGAGGGGCGAGGATCGGATTTGTGGCGACAGGTGCTGTGGCCTGTCTTCTTCTCCGCTGCCGCTAGGTTCTGCTTTAACCATCCTCACTGCAGGGAGAACCGGGCAGTGCTTTTGGTTCCCACTTACTGCAGTACTCTTGGCCCCATTTGCCAGTGGGGCTGCTCCATACACTTGGCTGCAGGCCCTAAGTCTGTGTCCGCAGAGGGTTAAGTTCCAGTCAGCAGAGCCATGTGGGAGTTCTGTATTCTGTGCCTCAGTTACTTGACGGGGCTCGCTCTGCCTTGGCTCTGCCATTTATTTAGTGGAGAAAGGGTTTTCATGGTCAAGAGCTGACAACTTCGATTTAATTATGCTGATGAAATTCTTCAGAGAATTATCTCTGAAACAAACTTTAATATAGCCGGGAAGAACACTGCCAACATTTCTGCCAAGTGTTTTGCATGAACTGTCTCAATTACCCTTCATAATAATTACTTTTATGGGCATTTTAAAAATGAAAAACTGAGGTTCTCAGGGTTTCAGTAGCTCGGCTGAGCGTGGCAAAGCAAGGATTACAACCTAGGTGTCTGTAGAACAGTCAAACTAACTGCTTGAAGACAAAGTAGAAGTACCCCCTGCTATGACCGTACTTTTCTCTCTTCTTGTGGTCATGACACTATTTGGATGGTGCTTCCTCTTCTAGACGATGGCTCCAAGGAGTCACAACTCTGAACACCTTTCTGTGTGGTGCTTACCTCAGGAATCCTCTGGGGACTCTCAGCTCACTCATATCCAATTAATAATTCTTTATTGGGCTAAGGTGTTGTGGGGCCCCTTGAATACTAGGAGAGGGGACAGTAAGGTCATCTCACTGTCCCCTCTCCTAGCATCTGACCCCTTTCAGCCTGGCCCTTGAAGGAGCCCACAAACACCTGGCTGCCCAGATTCTTGTAAAGATGTGCTTGTTAAAGTGCAAAGATTGATCCCATTTTACCAGTTTGTTTGTCTTGGTTGATAACTTGAATACTGTTAATGCTATTTCATCTAAGTAGGTGCCATGCTTATTGTTATTGGTTGTCAACTTGACTACATCTGGAATGAACTATAATTCCAGAAATGGAGGGCACAACTGTGAGAGTTTTTTCTTTTCTTTTCTTTCTTTCTTTCTTTTTTCTTTTCTTTTCTTTTTTTTTTTTTTTTTTGGTTTGGTTTGAAGTGGGTGAATCCACTTCTAGTATGGACCTTTGAAGTAGAAAACACACATGTCATTGATCTGGATCTTGAAGTAGGAAGGCAAACCTTTAATCTGGGCCATAACTTCTTCTGGAAGTCTATATAAGGGCATAGAAGAAGGAAGCTTTTACTCTTTGCCTGATTGCCCTTGACTTGCTAACATATGCATTCCTTCCGTGGTATTCCAGCTTCCTTCTTTGAGAATCCAGCATATACTGAAGACCAGCTGAGACAACTAGCCTTGTGGCTTGAGCAATTACTGAATTATTTGGCTTTCTGCTCACAGCCAGCCATTGTTGGATTAGCTGGACTGCAGCCTGTAAGTCATTTCAATAAATCCTGTGTGTGTGTATGTGTGTGTGTGTGTGTGTGTGTGTGTGTGTGTGTGTGTGTGTGTAGAGATTCATTCAATAAGTTCTGTTGCTTTGAGAACCCCAACTAATACAGTAGACCTTATGCACACTGTATGCTCACAAAGGTGTGAGTTTGAGTAACCTGAAAGAAAATGCCTCATGCTTATATGCCTAGTGTCTAATGTCAAGCACCGAACCTCTGTTACTACCCAGGGCATTCGGCAAGTCCATCACACTTTCTGACCTTAGTTTGCCTATCTTTGGAATAATGATGATGAAATTTACCCCATCCACAGAGTTGTATCTTGATGACAATCTAGACAGCAAAGCCTTCAATTTCCAGCAGAGAGCTGAGCAGAGTTAGGGTCCAGTTTCCTGACTGCCCTCTCCAGCAGTTTGATGCATAGCAGAGAGATAATAATGAGCAGAGAGTGGATAGTGACACTTGTTAAAGCCCTTGTGCACCAGACATTCATCAATTACTGCCCAGACCCAAGTACCTGGACAGCATCATCTAGAAGAGGTACTCTTGTAGACAAGTGGATGGTGTTATTGAAGTTTGATGGCTTTTTCAATAACAGAAAGATGCTACAGTTTTCAGTAACAGAAAGATGCTGTTTGGCATTTTCGGTAGTATATTACATCCCAGTTATTTCCCACAGGTAAGATATACGTGGGTGTTGTTGTGTTTCAAAATGAAGCCAAGGTTTCAACAGTTTTTTGCTAGGGGTTCTTGGAATTGAACACAACTTGTTTCCCACAGCAGTTAAGTAGCTACATACCCAGCAATGTGTGTGTATTTATATATGTATGTATACACACATATAGATATAGATATCAGAGACAGACTGACAAGATATTGTTCATTTGCCTAGGCTGGTTTTGAACTTGACCTGTTGATCATGGTAACTTCCTGCCTCAGCCTCCTGGAAAACTATGGTAACAGGACTGGATTGCTCAGTTGGCTTAAAGGATACATATTTTAAAGTTGGCCGCTTGCTCTTATCCGAGTTTGATTGTTTTGATTTTGTGAGTCATTATCTTCCCTGTACTATAATTATTTACAGAACTAAGTCTGATTACCCTAAGCACCCTGTGACTTGTTATAAGGCAAAACCTATGTCTGGTTTATTCAGAGATGTCCATGTTTCATATTTATTATGATAGGAGGTCCTCAATAAACACCCATCAGTGGACATGTAAGTTATTGTTTTTCTGAGCTCTATCTTGATAAGCTATAACATCTCCTTGTCCCAAGGAAAAATATATGCTAATGTTCAGATCTCTCTGAGTCTTGAAGATGCTGGAGTAATAAATAGTCACACTGACTTGAGTCGAAATACTAAAATAATGCTGTCCAAGGGAGAGATACCCAGCTCCAAAGCGCAAAGGACTTATGTGAAGAAGACGACATTATCTTCTGACAGCTTGAAAGGGGGGTTGGAATACAGTCTGAAGGAAATCAGATAAGGCAGCTTAACCTTTGATATGCTGTGTAAATAGAGGCCCATCCTTGTATTTCACTCTCACAGAGCAGTTGTTAAGTATCCTGTGAGATTCGGCTCAGGAACTGCAAGGGTAGCAGGAATGCTACAAGATGAATCTGTAAAGACCTCAAGCAGAAAACTGCTCAGCTGTACAGCCCACTTACACAGAGGGGCTGAATTTCATGATGTTCATAGATTTCCCAGAGCCAACTGCTGGCAAATAAATCATTCTGGATAAGTTCTCCTACTTTTGAAAATGCCAACAGTAAGTTGGTCGTGACTGTATTGTAAT